GTCTAACTAAAGTTCTATAAAGCTGCTGCAAAACTTGTCTATCCTGAAACTCAATGCCCCTTCTAATGAAGGCAAGCATGCCAAATGCCTTTTTTTGGAACCTTATCTACCTGCACTGTCACCTTCAGTGATCTGTAGATCTGCACACCCAGATCCCTCTGCATATCAATACTCCTAGGGGTTCTGCCATTCACTGTATAATTTTCACTTGTACTTGGCCTTCCAAAATGCTTCACGTCACATTTGTATGGATTAAATTCCATCTGCCATTTTTCTGCCCATGCCTCCAACTGATTTATATCTTGCTGTAACCTCTGACAATCTTCCTCACTATTTGCAACTCCACCAATCTTTGTATTGTCCACAAACTTACTAATTAGACCGGCTACATTTTTCTCCAAATTATTGATGTAGATCACAAACAGCAGAGGTTCCAGCACTGATCTCTGTGGAATACCACTAGTCACAGCCCTCCATTCCAAGAAGCATCCTTCCATCACTACCCTTTGTCTCCTATGACTAACCTAGTTCTTTATCCATCTAGCCAGCTCACCCCTCACACCATGTGATTTCACCTTTTGTACCAGTCTTCCATGAGTGACCTTGTCAAAGGCTTGACTGAAGTCTGTGTAGATAACATCAACTGCTTTTCCCTCATCAATCGTCTTCGTCACCTCCTCAAAAAAATCAATCAAGTTAGTGAGGCATGACGTCCCCCACAAAAAAACATGCTGTCTATCGCTAATAAGTCCATTTGCTTCTAAATGCTTATAGATCTTGTCCTTGAGAATCTTTTCCAATAATTTCCGTACCACGAACGTGAGACTCACAGGTCTGTAATTTCCTGTATTATCCCTGTTATCCTTTTTTTAAGCAATGGGACAATATTGGCTATTCTCCATTCCTCTTGGATCTTACCTGTGGTCAATGTTCCAGCAATTTGTTCTCTTACTTCCCTCAATATTCTGGGATAGATCCCATCAGGACCCAGGGACTTATCTACCTTAATACTTTTTAAGACACACATCTTCCTTTTTAACAGCAACTTGGCTTAGAAACTTGAACCTCCCTTCCCTGAGATCATCCTCCACCAATTCCTTTTCTTTGGTGAATACTGACACAAAGTATTCACTTAGGACCTCACCTACCTCTTCTGACTGCACCCATAGATTCCCTCCTTTGTCCTTGAGTGGGACAACCCTTTCCCTGGCTGCCCTCTTGCTTTTTATATATGTGTAACAAGCCTTGGGATTCTCCTTAATCCTGTTTGCTAATGATTATTCATGACCCCTTTTAGCCCTTCTAATTCCTTGTTAAATGTCTTTCCTACAATCTTCATATACTTCAAGGGCTTCGTCAGTTCCCATCCTCCTAGACCTTACGTATGTTTCCTTTTTCTCTCTGACCAACGTCATAACATCCCTGGTCATCCAAGGTTCACGTAACTTGCCATACCTATCCTTAATTCTTGCAGGAATGTGCCTCTCCTGGACGCTTATTAACTGCTGTTTGAAATACTCCCATATGTCCGATGTAGATTTACCCTCAAACAGCCACCTCCAATCGAAATTCTCCAGTTCCTGCCTAATATTGTTGTAGTACACCTTCTCCCAATTTAACACCTTCACCTGATGCCTGCTGTTATCCCTATCTATGAGTATGTTAAAACTCATGGTATTGTGGTCACTACTCCCGAAATGCTTCCACACTGAAACTTCACTCACCTGGCCCAGCTCATTTCTGAAAACCAGGTCTATTTAACCCCTTCCCTGGTTGGACTGTTTACATAATATGTCAAGAATCCCACCTGAATGTTCCTTACAAATTCTGCCCCATCCAAGCCCCTCACACATAATGAGTCCCAGTCAATACAGGGGAAGTTAAAATCACCCACCACAACAACCTCGCTGTTTTTACATCTTTCCGAAATCCGACTACATATTCTCTCCTCAATCACTCACTGGCTGTTGGGAGGCCTGTAGCATACCCCTAGCACTGTGATTTCACCTTTCCTCTTCCTGAGTTCTGAATTCCTGAGTAACAGGTAAGTTTTGAGAAATTGTTAACGGAGCAGAGAGCATCAGAAGCTTCAATTTAGTATTAAAAGTATTTAACATTATAAGGACTAATTATCCTAAAAGGGTAAGACATGGCAGGAGAGCTCCAAATCGTAGTCTGCTCCTCTTGCTCTATGTGGGAAGCCGGGCACTTTTCCAGTGCCTGGGACCTTCATGTATGCAAGAAGTGTCTCTAGCTGCAGCTCCTGGAATCCCAAGTTTCAGAGTTGGAGTAGCACCTGGGGACACTGTAGCATTTGCAAGGTCGAGAGTATCATGGACAGCACATATAGAAAGGTGGTCATGCCGCAGGATCAGACTCCAAAGGCAGGAAGGGAATAGATGAGTGTTTCTGTGGCCACAAATGAGAATCCAGGATGGTGTGCTGCCTTCATGGTGCTAGAGTCCTGGATGTCTTGGAGCAGGTGCAGGACATTCTGGAGGAGAGGGTGAACAGCCAGTGTCGTGGTACACATTGGTACTAATGACATAGGTTAAAAAAAAGGATAAGGTCCTAAAAGCAGAATATAGAGAACTCGGAAGAAAGTTGAAAAGTAGGATCTCCAAGGTAGTTATCTGAAGATTACTACCACTGTCACAAGCTAGTCAGAGTAGAAACAACATGATATATAGGATGAACACATGGCTGAAAAGATGGCATGTGCGGGAGGGTTTCAGATTTGTGGGACACTGGGAACGGTTCTTGGGGAGGTGGGACCTGTACAGAATGGACGGGTTTCTCCTGGACAGGACCGGGTCTGATGTCCTCGGAGGGATAGTTGGTAGAGTGGTTAGGGAGTGTTTATACTAGATGCAGAAGTTGAGGGAAAGGTAGAAGCCAAGGCAAGCTTTACTAAGAGCAAGAACAGACAGGGAAACGCTGCTGAAAAGAGGAAGGGAGGTGACCTGAAATGTGTGTGTTTCAATACAAAAAGTATAATAGGCAAGGTAGATGAACTTAGAGCTTTGGTTAGTACTTGGATCTATGACATTATTGCGATTACAGAGACTCAGCAGAAAGAAGGACAGGACTGGCAGTGGAATGTCCCAGGATTTAGATGTTACAGGTGTGATAGAAAGAGATGTAAAAGGGATGGGGGAGTTGCATTACTGGTAAATGAGTATCTCACAGCTGTACTGAGGGAGGATATGCCAGACGACTTGTGCAGTGAGGCAATATGGGTAGAACTCAGGAATAATTAATTAACTTATTTAAAAGCAACTCTCAGTTCCATTCCAAACCAGTCATTCTGTACATGAGTAATTTGGATTGACTGATTCAGAAATTTCCTTAATTCAGCTCCTGGCCTTCCTGTGGGTAACATATTGCCAAAGATAGGGGTTGACAGGCGAGGGATGATTATCTTAAGGGATCCAGTATCTGCACTGATATTCCACTGCCATTTTTACATTATGAGAAGGTATAAAGATACTTGCAAGCTTACTTTACAAAAAGGAAGGTCACCATGCAATGGTAATGCATTCATCTAAACAAGCAGAGAACAGCACTCTAGTCATCGTGAAGTCCTGCCTTTAATTTGATTGGTTGGCCGGTCTGTCAGTCCCAATCTTAATAGTGGATGCAAGCAGTCCAGTGAAGAACATTGATGGTGCCCGGGCCCAGGTAAGTTTTGAGCTGTTTGGGCTGGGAGGGATTGGGCATCTTAAGGAAGGAGAAACCCAGGAAGGATGGAGAGAATGGAATTTGGAGGCCAGCTGGGCAGGTGTAAAGTGAGATACCACCTTGAGAGGGAAAGGCTGTTCTTGACATGCACAGGGGAACCCCCTAAAGGATACACATCTTCCTTCCTATCCTGTCACCTCATATGATGAAAAGCAGATACCCCACTCTTGCAAACCTGCCTATGCCAGCTGCATCACGGTGTGGACGACGTAATATTGGATCACTCGGCTTGTTAACAAGTTTAATTGTCCTTTAATGATTTTTTAAAAAATTTATGAATGGGATTTTGACACTCACCTACCTACTGTAATATGGGAAACCAGCATTTGACATCAGGTTCATGATTCAATGTTGTCATGCTAGATTTAGCATATGTTGGGATGGCAGCAGTCCCAATTTGCATATGTGGAAACCCAGCCACTATCCTGTACACTGCTTAAAGAATAAGAGTACATAATGCTATGTCATTCAGTTTGACTATTCTAAATGTGAGGAGAAAGGATCCTATGATAATTGACATAATTCACATCTATTAACTTCTCATTTATAAAAACAGTACTGACTCAGTGTCTGCATCTTGCAAAGCAATTAGAATGTTATTTGTTTTCCAAAAAGTAATGCAAATGCCAGTGTTATAGTTTATTATCTTAGTATGCTCTTAATATAGCTGCTGCTTCTTTTAATTTTTAAAGTGTTGACTTCCAAAAAGGCAATTTAATGGAAAGAAATTGAAAATTGTTCTGTACCTTCTCTGTGACCATTCTGTTGGTTTGAATTTTATAGTGAATCAATGGAAGGAAGAGTGTAAAGCATTCACATCAATTAAAACTGCACTGTTTTTAATATTGTCTTCAATCTCTCTTTATAAAAACAACTTGAATTTCAATCAAATGGATTTATGAAAAAGTCAAATAAAACATTGGCGAAACTGCTTTGATATTAATATAGAGTTCAAAAAGTAAATGAACTCAAAAATGTTGGATCTGAAAGGAAGGATAGATGTAATATGATGCTTGATTAATTAAGCCTGCCTTGTTTAAAAGAATATTAAGAGAGGTAGAGTTCATGATAGATAAGGGATAAAATATTAAAGTGTGCATAAAAAATAAAGGTTTTAGAGATGGTGAAAGAGCTACAGAAGTTAAAGCTTCTTTTAGAAGCTCCTGCAATGATGAAAATCAAAGTGGTGTGTTCTGTATTTCTATTTAAACTGTCTTTATTTTTTATCCCCTTCATGTTCTTCTGTTAATTCACTGAAGCCGACAGCCTCTCCTGCTTCTTCAGCTGATATGGCACCAATCAGTTCTGGGTCATCTACTTGGACTTCTTCTGGTCTTAGTTTGCCGTTTGTTTCCATAGCAACTGGCATTGGTCCTTCATCCAGTGGAAGCCAGACTACTGTGGCATCTGTAGTAACAAGCACTTTGCTTGCAAGCCTTGGGTTTGGTGGTGGTGGAGTTCCTTCCTTTCCAAGTACTGTGTGGCCTACACGCCTTCCCTCTTTGGTTTCAACCACTAAACATCGAGTCAAACCTGTTATTTCAACAACTGAAGCATTGTCGTCCCCAGGCTCAGATGGTGGTTCTGCTGTTAATAAAACTGGTGAGGCAGAAGGTGAAGATGAAAAGAAGGAAAATGAAGATGAAAAAGGAGAAGGAGAAGAAGGAGATGAAGAGGAAAATGAAGAGGGAAGCAGTTTAAGGAAAGATGTAGCAGAGAAGCAGGAGAATGCTGTGACCACAACAACTACTAAGACACAAAATAAAACTGAATCAGAGATATCATCGAGAGATCCAAGTAGTCCAAGTGAAGAAGCTATAAACTCAACCAGTGGACAAGACCATCCAAACACAACTATGAGTCAAACAAATGTGACTTTCCAACAGACAACAGTTGAATTCTTACAAACATCCTCTGACATTGCAACCACAGAGAACTTTCTACTTAAAATTCCATTCAAGCCAACACTTCCTCCAAAGAGATGGAATGATGTAGCAGGCGCGTCTGCTGAGAACACATTTGTTATGGTAGATCCAGGTTAGTTTATATCAAGCTGTTTTGGTCATGGTATTGCATCTTTATGTCTTATTGTTTTTAAAACTAATTATGTCTTTGGAATGTCAGTTTTTTTTAAGTTCTGCTGAGCTCCCGAATGCTACTTTGATTGTGATGACCAATTAACTTGTGCATGTGACTTTTTGTCAAGTCCAAAGACAAAGTAGGTAGAGTTTTGGGTCCAAAGGCAGGATCCCATGTTGGGTCCTATGAGAGATGTGTGTCAGGTCTCAGAAGTCAGGGGAGGGGAAGGTGTGTAGTTTAGGTGGGGGAGGGATGGTGCATAGTTTAGGCGGGGGAGGAAGACTGGTTCAGGTGAGGAGGGACAGTCAGGTCCCACACAGATAGTGGAGCTGTCCATTTTAGAGGAAGAGAGGTCTCAGCTGCAGTGGCAGAGGGTGGCGGATCACAGGAGGAGAGGAGAATGTCATTGGAGAAGGGGCGGATATCGGATTCAGTGTGATGGATCTGGGAGATGTGTACATGGTGGTATGTAGTACGTTGAGGGATCAGTTTAATAGACACCCAGGAGTCAGACTATGTATTTAATTTTCTGTCTTTTTCTGCTTATCTTAGCTTAACAACGGTGGAATTATTCGATTTATATAGATATTTTTGGGGGTTCCAGGCATTGGGGAATTGCCTTTTTGAATCTTCAATTTCCCAGGCAATTCCCTTCCTAAATTGGTATTTCTGTAGGGTCTCAAAGCACAGTATCTATGCTGCAGAAACAACTATCTGTCCAATGGAAAATCCAGGCCATTATGTCTGATGCTTATCATGCACCAAATTTAAACATAGAAAACTGCATCAGAAACAAATCCTTTTCCATAGAATCTCTACAGTGTGGAAGCAGGCCATTCAGCCCATGGAACCCATACTGACTCTCTGAAGAAAATCCCACCCAGACCCACCCTCTCTCCCTGCCCACCCATAACCCTGCATTTCCCATGACTAATCCACCTAGCCTGCACATCCCTGGACACTGGATAATTTAACATGGCCAGTGCACCTAACCTGCATATTTTTGGACTGTGGGGCAAACTGGACCACCTTGCGGAAACCCACGCAGACATGGGTAGAATGTGCAAACTCCACTCAGACAGTCACTCAAGGCTGCAATCAAACTCGGTCCCTGGGGCTGTGAGGCAGCAGTGCTAACCATTCAGCCACCCTGCTGTCCCATGTTTCTAGTAATTTGTTTACAATGTGAGGCATCTTGCTCCTTCTGAATGGAGGCCAATAACTTTTCATTGCTGTCAGTGCCACTGGGAGTTGTACATCTTCCAGTAGTATACCCAAAGGTCCAGAATCTATGTAGGACCTTAGACTAAATATGAGAGTGAGTGGAATGAGGGTCATAGGAGAGAAACTCCCTCAATTCACAATGTCGGATCTTTGATGGCGGGCATCAAATGTCTGAAATTGAGTGTACACCCACCCCGACCCGATCAAACAATACTTTATCAAACAATTTTTGGAAATCCAAAAATAATAGTTCTGATAAAGGTGTCAGCCATGATTTATTCTTCATGAAGTTTTTGTACACTGTATCTTTTAAATCATAAATAGGGTTGCTATTGCTAAGCCAAAATTTCACCCATCAGCATTGAATGAATTTACGACCTTATGTCACTCACTTGTTACGTTCTCACGAAGTCGCCAATGTCATCTGGGACCAGCACAATAGCTAGCTGCCTTTGGGAAATAGAAATAATATATAATTGAAGTTTGGAGAATTCCTCTAAAGGTTTTCAGCATATTGTTTGGGTTATTCTGGAAGAAGTTTTATATTTCTTCATAATATATTAATATGCCTGACATTGGGTGCTCAAAAGTGGAAAAATGTTTCGGTGTTGACTTCCAACACAGCAGACTTCACTTAAAAATAACTTGAATAGGGCAAAGCTAGCACTTTTTGTTGGTTTTATTTGTATAGAATATACTTGACATTTTTTTTTCAATGGGTGGAATTTGAAATTGAAATAAAATATAATTGAACCCATTCAAACGTAGGTGAAATGTACGTGGAGATTCTGTCAGCTTTATTCAAGCTTTCCTGGATGCCAGTACTTTAAATATGTAATGCAGAATGAATGAGACGTAACAAAGATTTCACCATCTACTCTTATCCTACTGCAGACACCAAAATTTGACACCATACTACACAAGGAGGTAATACAACAGGTAACAAAACCTTTGTCAAAGAAATGAGTATTAAGGAGTCAAGAGAACAAAGTGAGGTCAAGAGGCATGTAAAGTTGTGGAGGCAATTCTAGAGTTTAGGTCCAAAACAGCTGAAGGCACACCTGCTTACAGTAGAATGATTAAATTTGAGGTTGCTCAAGAAGCAAAGTTGGAACACTTGGAAGATGTTGGGCTGGGGAAGAATACAGGGACGTAGATAGTTCTGATTATAAGAATGTGCATATTAAAATTGAGGTGTTGCTTTATCTGAAGCCAGTGCAGGTCAGTTGGCACAGGGGTGATGGGTGATTTGGCATTGTTTTGAGTTAGCACATGGGCAGCAGAGTTTTAGATGATCTCATGTTTAAGGAGGGTAGAATGTGGGAGGATGGCCAGGAAATCCATTGAAATAAACAAGTCCAGAGATAACAAAGGCATAATGTAGATTTCAAGGGCAATTGAGCTGAGGTTGGTAGACTCGGGCAAAGTTATAGAGGTGGTAGTAGGTAGTCTTGTTAAAGTAAATGTTTCTCATTGTTCAGCAAAGAATGTAGACGTTTTGGAAAATATGAATCAACCTAAAGTTGTGGTTATCTTTGTTCAGCTGATTCCAACAGGAGTTATCTGGTTGCTGAGTTGTATGAAGAAGTAACTTGCCATGGGGACTGAGCATGCCACTGTTGAAATATTATGAATGAACAGATGTAAACTTTCATTTGTCTATTCTTCTATTAATTAAATAAATTCAAATTGTGCATGTTCTATAAATCTGTCAGCTGAATTACATGTTGGCCTTCAGCCCTTCAGGATTCAACAGAGCTATTTTAGAAATGTGTCCTTCATACTTAAAATGCGTGCCTTTACTAAACGTTTTTTAATTGTTAAAAAAAATCTGGACTTAGAAACTGAAGATAAATTACAATGATAGCAATGTTGTAATTACAGTACCTTAATGTCACACATTGAATTATACATGCTTTCAAGTTATCACCCAAAACAAAATGTTTTTATCCGTCTCCAAGCAGATAGAATTGGTTTTAGTCGTTTCACATGTGGCTTTAACTTAGAACCATTTTGTGTTGGATGCTAAATTTTGAAATACGTAGCTAGTGTGTTTGTATGCTTCCTGTTGTTTCAATTTCTGATTATACTTTCGCATCAATGTTGGAAACTGGCTGTATTAACATTTATATTTGAATGTAAGCAATGACCCAGCACCAAGAGCAGTTTACTAGTTTACATTACGTTATGGGAATAATTTTAATCTAAAGCCACCTACCGGGAAACTACAGGAGCAGTTTGGTTGTATGTTTTACTGTCCACCTGATTCTTCCTTCCATTCAAATGCACAAAGTAAAATCAAGCTGAATGTAAAACAGTTGGCTGATTTAATCCTGTCAATATCCTACTAAATAAGTTTGGTTGAAATTATCCTTGATGTTGAACAGATGCTTAGCAACCATTTTGTTATTTACTCCTTTGAAAATTGAAGTAGACAGGGATGAGCATGCATTGGTGAGTACTGTTTCAAGCAAGTCTAATTTTTACATGTTTCATGTTGCTGTCAGTGAGCCTTCATCAAACTCCTTCCATGTGTGCTTTCCATTGGGGAATGAAACATTCCTAAGCAGATGCGAATACAGTATTAGCAAGCATATTAATAAAAATGCATTTTGTAACCCAAAAATTAGGGAGCACTATAATTGTGGGACATTTGTCACTGTTAACAATCACATCATGCCTGTAATATTTTGAATAGTACATAATGGCTGTAATTTATTTGAAATTACTTTAATTAATCGCTTTAGAAAATGCAGTTTACAAGAAAAAATCAACACTCAAACTCTATAAATGCAAAAATAAAGTAGCATTCTTTTTTTCACAACAAAACAGAAGCCCAACTTATGAGAAAAGAGTAAAAGAGCAAATCGCTTAGAAAGCACAACATGAAGGTACAAAAGCCTAAAAACTGGATGACCTGTGTTCTCTGTCAAGTTGAATAGTCCACATAGATAATCACCAAAGTAATACAACTTTTTAAAATGTTATATTCATCTGTCTCATTATTTCTCAATGTTACCTACTTAATAAAAAGTATATTGTTATGATCCCTGCCCATGCCACCAAACTTATGTTTTGGTCTGGCTAAAGACCGGTTTTGTTTTGCATAAAGTAGATAAAGCTTGGGATCTCAGGTGCTTAGGATGAGATTAAAGCTCAAAATTCCATGCTTTTGAACAAGCGAAAAGCACATTACAATGTGAAGTTAGAACAGTAAAACAATCAATGATATACATACAAATTATCGTTTAATAGTAGGGAATTTGAGTATTACTTAAAAAGACTTTTTGTCAAAGCTTTTCATCTCGCATTCATCAGATCAATTTGCAAGAAATACTATTTATAAGGAAAACAACACAGTATAGGAGAAGCGCGTGTTGATCGGTTAGCAAGTGGCCATCAGTTGATAGAGGTGTTGCTGTGGAGAATGCACCTGTTAGATGATGACTGACAGTTAGCTGCCACATTTTGTTTAAATTTAAGCCAGACAGATGGATTGTTACTGGTCAAGGACTTACTTCATTTATCAGTGCGATTAAGTATAATTAATGTGCAGTTAACATATATTTTCTTCTTTTTCTTTAAATAAAATATAGAGTTAATTTGGAAAACCAAAATTTCAAAGTAAGCAAATCAAAAACCTTTATATTCTTTACAAAGTATTAGATTGCAAGATGCTCTTCCTCTTGGACCTGTAATATTTCTTTACAATTCCTGTACAAATATTTTATTTT